TCCAGGACTCAAGAATCTGTCATTAATCCCCAAAGTTTATACCTCAAAGAGAAAAAGCAGCAGCTTAGGGACAGCTCCGGGGGGAAGCAGCAGCTCCAAGCTGGAAGTTCATCCCTGAATTTGGTTCTTGACAGCAGCAGGGAAATCAAACCCACACGAGCACAGGGGGAAAAGCACCAAGGAGGTTTTAAAAGCACCCCAAGTGCAGTTTGGAAACGTTCATCCTGTCAAAAAAAAATAATTTCCAAATTTATATTCCCAGTTGAGGGGTTTTGTCCATAACTAACAAATCTTTAAACACAGCCTATGCCTTCAAACTGTGTCAACCCCCCTAAAAAAGGTCTGAGGGGGCATAAAAGGGTCCAAAATTGCTTGAGGTGGGATTGATGAGATCACTGAAGGCAATGAGATGCACCCAGGCCTCAGCCTGTCATTCCCAATCCCAGCCCTTCCCGTGGCAGCTGGAGCTGAAAGGGGTTTCTGTGACAAGGGTGCAGCTCAGAGTGACACAACCACACAAGGACACACAGTTCTTCACATTTTCCAGCCTAAAATCCCCCCCATCCCCAAAAAAAAAATTGCATTAAGAAGGATGAGCTGACCCAGGAGAGCCCCGTGGGGTTGGGAAGTGCCAGAACCCAATTAGCCAGGAGTTAATTGGTGCTGAATGAAAAGGTGCCAGGTGTGTCACCATCACCCCCCAGGGAACAGGAGAGGCAGGAGAACTCCCAGGACTGACACACTCACCTTGGACACCTTTGGATTTGGGGAGCCAGGGTGGAAGCAGCCAGTGAACCCCCCGCTCCTGTTCCGGGATAAACTTGGTTTGATGACAGATTCCTTCTATTTGACAACTCCCCCCCTAAAGAATCACCCCAGAGGGGGGGACTGGAGGGTCCTTTGAGCCCCCAGTTCCACGTCCAAGACGAGGGGATGGGCTTGTGATGGATCCTTGAGAGCGGGAATGGATTTCCAACAAGCAAATGGCAATTTTCTACCTGTGTTCTGTACCTGTTTTCTATGTGTGTGGTCTTTCTTAAATGTCAAACTCTTGTATTTTTGTGGTTTCTATATGCAGCAGGACTGATGGCTGTGAGGGTGCACGCTGTTTTTGTAAAATATTCCTTAGCCAGTTTTCCCCCCAACC